CTTGCTCAGTGGTTAGAGCATCAGCCTTCAGACTGAAGAGTCTTGTATTTGGTTCCCGATCAAGGGCACATACCTGGGTTGCAGGTTCGATCCCTGGCCCCGGTTGGGGTTATGAGGGAGGAAACCAATTGATGTGTCTCTCGCAATGATGTTTCTCTTTTTCTGTCTCTCTTCCTTCCTCCCTCCCATTCTATCTTAAAAAAAATAAATAAATAAATCAATGCAAAAAAATATCCTTGGATGAGGATTAAAAAAAATATATAAAACTTTTAGGGAATAAGATGAAATAATGCAATTTCTACTAACAATTACTGTATTTAGCTATATATCATATAAAATATTAATTTATAATATTTTCACTCTTACACATTATAATGTCAGAGAAAAATTTTCAAAAGTTAAAAATATGACTCTTACCAATATAGAATGAACCCACGTCACATCTTTTATTTTAATTAATGAAGGAACTAGTAGGATGGTAAAACTGATTCTAAGAACATTTGAGGAATGAGTTATTTCTAGGGGGGGAAAAAACAATCCAGAATGTTAAACCAAGATTGCTAGATTAGACACAAAATAAGTTAATGTTTTACAGGGTAATGAAATAATGGGTTATCTTTTCTGTTGAACATAATCATTTATATCTCTACCAAACAAAAATCTACAAATTTACACATAACTGCACAGTACCTGGACTTTAATTCACAGTAAATAGCAAAGTCAAACAGGTAAATTCTCCTACAGAATTAAGTAATCCCAGGGTGGGCCTGTTAAAAATGCTTCCCTTGCCTGGCCGGTGTGGCTCAGTGGTTGAGCATCGACCCATGCACCTGGTCAGGTCACATGCCCAGGTTGTGGGCCTGATCCCCAGGGGGGGCATGCAGGAGGCGGCCAATCGATGTTCTCTCTCATCAATGTTTCGATCTCTCTCCTTCTTCCTTCCTCTCTCTCTAAAAATCAATAAAGGAAAAAAAAATGCTCCCAGCCCTGGCCAGTTTGGCTCAGCAGTTAGAGCGTCGGCCTGTGGTCTGGAGAGACCCGGGTTCAGTTCCCGCTAAGGGCACATACCTCGGTTGCAGTTTGTCCCCAGCCCTGGTTGGGTCGTGTGGGTGGCGACCACTCGATGTGTCCCTTTCATGTCGATGTTTCTCTCTCTCTCTCCCTCCCACTCTATCTGAACAAAATATCAAAAAATGTCCTCGGGTGAGGATTAAAAAAAAATGCTCCCCTACCACAGTGAAGTACACACTACAGCACTCTTCCTGCTTTCTTACTACTTCCAAGTGCAGGATCATTTTTCTTAACAATAGAAGTTTTTTGTTAAAACGCTTCATACAAATCTCTTCTATCAGTGTTTTGGTGCTACAATAATCACTTCTTGAGTCACTTAGCAAAGTTTTCCAGAACATAGCATCTTTATGTCCTCCCAAGTTTTTTCCAATAAAGCATCCCTGGGATCTTGTGTAGGTTTTTATGAGTTTGAAAAGGAAATAGATATATTAAATAACTATAAACATTGTGAGACAGTGTGTGGTTATATGGATGTTTACAATGTAGGAGTAATGCCCTGGCCAGGTGGCACAGTTGGTTGGGGCATTGTCCTGTACACCAAAAGGTTGTGGGTTCAATTCTGGTTGGGGGCATGTGGGGGAGGCAACCAATCAACATTTCTCTCTCACATCAATGTTTCTCTCTCTCTCCTTCCTCCTTCTCTAAAACCAATAAAAACATATCCTCAGGTAAGATTTTTAAAACATATAGGAGTAACCACCAAATTAACAACAACAACAACAACAATAATAATAATAATAATAATGCAATCGGTAGCTCTCCGAAGTAGCAAAAAGAGAGAAGGGAAGTATATAAACGGCTTTAAGACGCCAACGGATGGCCAGGAAGGAAAAAGAAAGATGGTAAACAGAAAAATGAAATGAAATGGTAGAAATTATTTCAGATATACTACCCACGATAAATAGAAATAGATTTAACTCACCTATTAAAAGACAAAGACTAGCCCCGGCCAGATGGTTCAGTTGGTCAGAATGTCATCCAGTACACCAAAACATTTTGGGTTCGACTCCCAGTCAGGGCACACACTGAGGTTGAGGGTTTGATCCTTGGTCAGGGTGTGTGCAGGAGGCAACCGATCCATGTTTATTTCTCACACTGATGTTTCTCCCTCTCCCTTCCTCTCTTTCTAAAATCAATAAAAACATATCCTAGGATGAGGATTTTTTTAAAAAGATTTGACATATATGTAATGTTTAAAAGAAAGACAGAGACTATCAAATTGAATGTACTAAAAAAAATCCCTCCTTCCAGAAACATGCCTAGAACATAATGAAACCAAAAGGATGAAAATAAAATTACAATAAATAAATAAATAAATAAATAACAAGAAAACCTGATGTAGCAATATTAACATTAGACAGAATTAAGACAAAAAGCATTAAAGAAAAAGAGCTATTTTATCATGATAAAAGGAATGATTAAATTACTACTTTTATGTACCTTCAGAAATAAAAAGAACTTGATAAAGACTCAAAAATGACAATCATTTATTAAAAACATATATAATACAAAAACTGATGTTTTTATTAAAATAAATATATCTAGCAGAAAAAAATCCAGAACTAATACAGACTACTTGAATAAAATTAACAAGCTTGACCTAACATATAAAGAACCATACATAGAAACAAATGGAGAATAGTTTTAATACATTCAGAATATTTTTCTAAAATGACCACACAGAGACCTGGCAGGATAGCTTAGTTGGTTATAGTGCTGACCCCATACACCAAGGTTTCGAACACATACATAAATCAACCAATGAATGCATAAATAAGTGGAACAACAAATCGATGTTTCTCTCTCCATATATATGTAAATCAATTAAAAAAAAAAGACCAGATACTATGTCACAAGAAAATGCAAACAATATCCAAGATTTAATATCATCTCTGTTCACAAAGTACTTAAATTAGTAAGTAATTGACAATAAAAAGATAGTTTAAAAGTAGCAACAACCTTTAATGGGAAACTTAATGGAACATTTAAAACTAAAGATAAGGACAATGGTCCTGGCTGGTGAGGCTCAGTTGGTTGGAGCATCGTTCAGTACATCGAAATGTCTTGGGGTTCAATTCCGTCAGAGCATATACCCAGGTCATGGGTTTGATCATTGGTCAGGACAAGTTCAGGAGGCAACCAATCAATGTTTCACTCTCACATCGATGTTTCTCTCTCTCTCTCTTTAAAAAATAAAAATAAAATTTAAAAAAATCACCAAAAAACTAAAGACAGTGAAAGTACCACATGACAATACCTGTGGGACACAGCAAAGTAGTGCCCAGAGACAAGTGCATAGCTTTAAGTATAATTATTCTTAAAAAAAGACAATTGAAAGTAATCTATAAACTTTTGAGTCATGTAGCTAGTAAGAAAAATAAAATTACAAAGTAACAAAAGAAGGAAAGAAAGAAAAGAACTGATAGAACCCATAGAATAGAAAACAAAAATATAGAAGTAGAAAAAACACAAAATAAAAACTGGTTCTTTAAAAAATAATAAAGCAGACAAACCCCTGGCAAGACTGATAAGAATGGAACAATAAAAATGAGAAATAAATTGGAAAATGGGGCATAAATACAGCTAGAGCACGATTTAAAAAAAAACCTAACCGAACAAGACAAACACGTTTCTTCAAAAAACAATTTAAAAAAGACTAGCTAAAATAGAAACGTTTCCAGAAAAAAAATAACTAAAAGTAATTCAAGAACACAAGCCATAAAGATATGTGCTATCTACCTCCCTACCTATCTCTGTAATAAAGAGGCTCTCCCTAAAAAACAAGCCAAGTCCAGATGGTTTCAAGGAGGGTTTTCCCAACACTTCCAACTCATTTTACTAAACGACACTAATCCCACCGCCAAATCCAGACAAGGTCAGTAGGAAGGGAAGACAGCTGTCGGCCTATCTCACTCTTAGATGTAAAATCGTAGCTAAAACATAGCCCTGGCCAGTTTGGCTCAGCTAGCCCTGGCCAGTTTGGCTCAGCGGTTAGAGCGTCGGCCTGCGGTCCGGAGAGACCCGGGTTCGGTTCCCGCTAAGGGCACGTACTTCGGTTGCAGTTTGTCCCCAGCCCTGGTTGGTCGTGCGGGTGGCAGCCACTTGATGTGTCCCTTCACGTCGATGTTTCTCTCTCTCTCCCTTCCTCTCTCTCCCTCCCACTCTATCTGTACAAAAAATGGAAATATATCCTCGGGTGAGGATTTAAAAAAAAAAAAAAAAAACATAGCTGGTCGCCTCTTCCGTCCAACACTGTGGTGGGGCCATGGCCTGGACACTGGAATACTACGCAGCTATTAAAACCAGCCTTGGAGGTGGAGGGAAGAGGGGAGCAAGGTGGGAGCCCGGCGACCGTGGGCCTGTCACATCCTTCCACCTCTGCAACCCGCACACTGCTGTCGATCCTTCCCACACCTTGGCAGCCGTGGCCTCCCGGCCCACAGATCCATCTTTCCTCTGCCCCTGCGCCTGTTTCCATAGGCAGATCTATCCCACAGCTGCGCAAGGCTTATAGGGCTGGACAGAAATGTTGACCAGCACTCTCCTCCGAAGGCTCTAGAACCTTCCTATTAAACTGATTCATACAAAAGCACAAATAAAGCTGAGCCGCCACCGGGTCGCCCAACGTTTACCACGCCTCCGCGCCCGGAGCCGGGGCGGGCTGCGCGCGGCCCCCCGCTTCTCCGTCGGAAAGGGCGCCTCTCGCCGCGCACTTCCTCTTCCTCTGTCCCGCGGCGCGGGCACCGGCCCCGCTCCGAAGGCACGGTCACGGGAGGCGCGGAGACCGGGGTACCGGGCGCCGGCCCCGCCGCACGTCGCCGGCGCGCCCCCGCCCGGCGCGCCCCCGCCCGGCGCGCCCCCCCCCGCCCGGCGCGCCCCCGCCCGGCGCGCCCCCGCGAGGCCTCGCGGGTGCCCGCGCCGGGGGGAGGGGGGAGGGCGCCGCCCGCCATGGAGGTGGAGGAGGCGTTCCAGGCGGCGGGGGAGATGGGGCTCTACCAGATGTACTTGTGCTTCCTGCTGGCCGTCCTGCTGCAGGTGAGTCCCCGCCGCCCCACAGCGCCCCGCGTCCCCTGCTCACGGCGTCGGCCCGGCCGAGGCGTCCCCCTCACCCCGCGAGCGGACACCGAGGCGTGGGGAGCCCCCCTCTCCCCGCGCGAGGGCGGGGCCGGCCCGAACGCCCAGGACGCCGCCGGCCCGTCAGCCTCGGCCCTCCCCCTCCGGCCCCTCCGGCCCCTCCGGCCGGGGCCCCGGCCCACCCGCCCCTCCCTCGAGTGGGGGAGGGAGTGTGCGCGCCGGGGCGGGGCGGGCGCTTCAGCCGCGGCCCATTGGCAAGGAATGGAAAATCCCTGTGGTCCGCGGTGCACGCGACCGCGAATTGTTGCCCTAAACCTGTGGCACTGTCACCTTGGAACCCAGAACGCGGCCAGAGACCTGGTGACCCGCTGACGAAAGGTCCCCGCTGGAGCGACCTCCTTCAGTTCCGGGTATCTGCCCACCACCTTTAACTGGATTTGCGGGGGCTTCCTCTTCCTGAGGTTGTGGGTGCATAGCTTTATTTCTCTCTGGTGTAAGTTCTGCTGGATCATTCTGCGCAGAGGCCACCTTTGTTGGAGATTCTTATAAGTCCAATAGTGCCATCTGCAATGGTCAGTGTGCTCAGTGGTTACAGCATCGGGTCCTGTACCTGTGTTGCCGGTTCCTCCCCAGCCCCGTGCGTGCTGGAGGCAACCAATGGATGTGTCTCCCTCTCACACACTGATGTAGTCTCTCTCTTCCTCTCGCTCCCCCCTTCTCTCTTCCACTCTCTCCTTTTCCCTCTCCCCCTTCCTCTCTTCCACTCTCTCTAAATGTCAATGGAAAAAACATCCTTGGGTGAGGATTAACAACAACAAAAACATCACAATGTGTAGTTATAACACGGACCCACTTCTTCATTGTACAGAATTCTCAGAGAATACTTGCTCACCTAAAAATGTGGATTCTCTATGCACAAGGTCACTGCAAATACATTTTTCCAGGCAAGAGTTACTCCTCCTTTGTCAGCTCAAAGGGTCCATTTGACATCAGTTACTTCTCCCAATATTCTTCAAGACATTTTATTCACAATCCTTTTATTAGTATTTTGTGAGTCATCCGTTTTACTGATTCCTTCATTCAGCAGATATATCTGAGTGTCCACTGTGTAGTTAGCAGGGGCTACAGTGGTGGACAAATGAACACCCCTTTCTTTGAAACTTGTGTTCTAGTGGGATGGGTGAGGCAGGCAGACAGTTCAGTAATGACAGTGAATATGTAATGACAGCGATTCGGAGAGAAGTATAGGGTAGTCCTAAGTGTAACTAGTCCTACCGATAGCCGGTTCATCAGTTGCTTAAATCTTGCATAAGGCAACTCCTCAACAGGAAGGCGGGGGTGGGGTAGGTAAGGGTTGACTTACAGATTCTCTTTTCCATGAAAATGTTTGCAGGTTCAGTTGGTTTCATCACCAGCCAGAACTGTTCAAATGATGGACTGATAGATGACATCAGTCCTTTCTCTAGCAAAACAAGTTCTCAGTTCACAGATATGCAGTATTCTGGTTTCTTTAAGTTTGTTTTAGCTGTAAGTGTATTTTCCCTATGAGGAAAAAGTATTTGTGCTAAATTATAAAAGAGTATTTAAAACAGAGAGAATAGAATTGTAACCATGATGCCTGATTTTTTTGTAATACTTTTTCTTTGAGAAAATTTTTTTCCTGTTCTAACCAAGACTTCCAGGGACATAAGTCCCTTACTGAGAAATCTCACCTCCCCACTTCACTATCTCTGCACTCCACCATGGTGTCATTATCTTCTTAGCTGCCTAGCCAGGTATCCAACAACCTGGAGTAAATTTGTATTGAGTGGAATGTGGCACTAAAAAGGCCACTGTTCAGGGTTCAGGACCTGTTAAGTTTCCCCTACTTACTTTTCTTTATGGTGGACTCAGGTGGTTCGAGTTTGGTACCAAACTCGTCTAAGCCCATGATGGCTGATCATTGATCTCTGCCTGATATGTGATCAGTATTGGCCATAGAAAAACCAGGTCTTAGAGTTTTGGGAATGAAGTGGCTGACTGTTTTGTAGTGGTGGGCTGGGGAGGTGTGCCTATGTCAACAGAGGAGAGGCCCCAGTATAGGCAAAAGTGAATTCTTCACAGTTGTCATGTTTATGAAGACTCCAACCCCCCTTTGAGATATGGAGCCAAGTGGTCCTGGGATTGCCCCAGGTTTTCCTGGATATGAGAGTGGAGCTCCCCAAAGACCTCTCTATCAAGTCTATTGTTGCAGAGGTTTGGGCTAGGGGAGCTGGCCTGCAGAGTGGCAGTACTGGGGAGTCCCATGCACAGTTGTAACAGATGCTGTCATCATTCTTGTGGGGGTTGCTTCCTCCAACAGAGGGAAAAGTCAGAAGCCCTTTTCAGAGTTACAAGGAAGGAGGTTGATGCTGTCTGCTTTTAAAGCCAAAGCACTTGTCTTCTGTTGCCCAAGGAAGATACAGAGCAACTGCTAGCAGTACTGCCGGGGGAGGGGGAGGGACAGGGGGACCCTGCCAGAGAGCCCTGCACATTGTGCTGCACATTGTGCATGGTACTGCCAGAGACATGGACTGCCAGAGACACAGACTGCCAGGGACAGGGACTGCCAGGCACACAGACTGCCAGGGACAGGGACTGCCAGGCACACGGACTGCCAGTGGGAGGGAGCCCCTGCTCAGCAGGAGCCTTCTCTGCATCTGAGATTTGGTGATGACCAGCCTCAGCTGAGAAGCACAAAACCAGGGGACAGAGATGCAAACTTGACAGATCCTTTGGTGTGTTCTTCCTTCTGGAACTATTATTATTTTGAAAATGGTTTTAACTCCCTTTCCTTCAAACATACCCAAGTTCAAATAAGAGGACAAAACCACATTACAAAGCCAGCTGTAAAGGTCTTTAGGTTAACTGTTTTCTTGGATTACTGGTACCTCCATACAGCTCTTCAAAAGTGACCTCAATGCCCAGATACCTTTCACTAGGAAACCGTCTTTCATACCTCCTGCAAACACAAACTTTGGCATCTCCACAGTGGTCGACTTTCACATATATGAAGTATATGCGCCTGGCCGGTGTGGCTCAGTGATTGAGCGTTGACCCATCTATGCACCAAGAGGTCGCTGGTTCAATTCCCAGTCGGGGCACATGCCCAGGTTGTGGACCCGATCCCCAGTGGAGGGCATGCAGGGGGTGGCCAATCAATGTTCTCTCTCATCGATGTTTCCATTTCTCTCTACCTCTCCCTTCCTCTCTAAAATCAATAAAGAAAATAAAAATAAAAATAAAAAGATATGGCCCTGGCGGGTTTGGCTCAGCAGTTAGAACGTTGGCCTGCAGTCCAGAGAGACCCGGGTTGGGTTCCCGCTAAGGGCATGTACCTCGGTTGCAGTTTGTCCCTGGCCCTGGTTGGGTCATGCGGGTGGCAGCCACTCGATGTGTACCTTTTAGGTCGATGTTTCTCTCTCTCTCTTTCTCTCTCCCTCCCGCTCTCTCTGAACAAAAAATGAAAAAATGTCCTCGGGTGAGAATAAAAAAAAAAAAAAAAAAGACATGCATCCCTGGCCGGTGTGGCTAAGTGGTTAAAGCGTCGGCTCATGCACTGAAGGGTCTTGGGTTCGATTCCCAGTCAAGTCACATGCCTGGGTTGCAGGTTCGATCCCTGACCCAGGTTAGAGCGTGTGCAGGAGGCAACAGATCATGTGTCTCTCTCACAGTGATGTCTTTCTTCTCTCTCTTTCACACACAGGCACACACGAACACTCTCTCTCCTAAAGAGCAATGGAAAAAATATCCTCAGATGAGGATTAACAATAATAACAAAAAGAATATATGCAGATTTTATAGATTTCCCTGGGGCATGATCAGATGAAAATGCCCTGTGATAGTGATACGTGGTTTTCAAGTGCAAGGTGGGAAACCTTCTTTCTGCCCAGGGCCATTTGGCTATTTATAACATCATTCGTGGGCATACAAAATTATCAACTTAAAAATTAGCCTACTGTATTTGGTCAGGCTGATTTGGTGAGGTGTGTGATGTTAGCTGATACTGATTTCACGGGCCTTATGCTGCCTGTGGGCCGGACGTTCTCCACCCCTGAAAAGGGAAAATACTGCTTTATGTAAAAAATGTTTCTCTTAAGAACAAGCAGTAAGATACACAGTTAGAAAAATTTTTACCCCTCCCCCAAATATACATGCCGTCCCTTGGGTTAGAGCTTTTTTGTGATATTTTAATATGAATAATTCTGTTAATTACTGTTTCTGTTTTCTGATGGGTGATTCCGTTGGTCATCACTATTTTGTGTTTGTGTGTGCTTGTTTGCCAGGCTGTCTGGAGGAGGAGGGCTGGGGAACAACGTTTTGTTTTTTGATCTCTTTAGACATAAGTGAAAATATATTCTACTTCTTTGTTCTAAGCCAGGGACTCCGGCTTCTTCATTTTCCTCAGGATCATGAGTCATAGGTTGTAGCATAATTTGTACAGGATTTACAGCATCCATTAGCCAACAGGAAAAGGTAATCTGTAACAAGCATTTGTTTCACCAGGAAAACCGGGTGCTGCTGTCGAGCTCAGCTTGAGGTGCAGTGCTCGGGAGTTCGGGGATGCATGGTTCTAGTCAACCCTAATCACCCTGACCTGGTTCTCGGCTCCTGGAACCGCACGTGCGTTTGCATCATCCACGCAGTCGATATCTTTTCATGGCGTTTTAGAAAGTCGAATGACTGAACAGGTATTTTACAGAAGAAGAGACTATAATAGTCAACACATGTTAAGATGTTTACCTTCAGTGGTTATATGAGGGCAAGCATAGTAAAAGAACTATGAACTATCATTTCACACTTATTAGATTAGCAAACATTAAATAGTCTCACAGTACAAGTGTGATGACAATGAGAAGTAGAAGCTACGCCATTTAGAGAACGATTTGGCCCTGTCTAGTAAAATTAAAGCCCAGTGTTGGACTCCTGGGTCTGCGTCCTAC